CCATTTATGGAGCTCCAACCCTCCTGGGGTATGACATAACATTGCTGTTGGAAACCTACACTGGGATTCATATGGCACCTCCCGTGACAGTGACGTGGCAGCGTGTGGTTGGCTAAAATTCAAAAAAAAAAAACTGTTTTTGCACCAATTAGGGACAACCCCCAGCACCCCGAGCTGGGGGTCTAAGTCATTTGCCCATATTAATTTGGTTTGGATAGTGTTTTCAATTTTTTTATGGAGCTTTCATTAAAGGGTTAGTCTGGTAACCATTTCGTTTTCAGTTTTTAGTTTATATTTACAAAAATTTTAAAAATTGTCTTAAAAATTTGTTTGATAAATTTTTTGGTTTATAAATGGTTGTCTTAGTTTGTAAATTTGAGGAAAAAACGTAAACTCAAAAAATGAGTTTAAGTTGGTTTTTAAACAGAAATTTAAAAATTTGACTAACAAATTTTTTTTTTTTCAAACAATTTTTTTTCCCAATTAATTTTTTTTCCAATTAATTTTTTTTCATTAATTTTTTTTTCCAATTATAATGTATGTGATCCCATTGTCATAAAATAATAAAAAATAAATATAAATATTTTAGGCATGAACAAACATATTTTTTAGTTTATGTTGTTAAATTTTTTCGAATATTTGTTCAAATCAAACACATTTGTAGTTTATGTTTTTCTAAAAATAAACAAAAACCAATTTATAAAAATTTTATAAACATAAACTAAAAACGTAAACGTTACCAAACGCTACATTTGTGTTTGTTAGTACCAATTTATAAAGTTCCTTTTTATTTTTTTATTTTTTTTTTATTCGAAGTTGATAAGAGTGCATCAAATTCATTTTTTTTCGTGGCATTGGTCTATTGACTTGGATTTCCACGAAATGGAAAGTTCTTACAACTTCATTCATATTCCTAATTATTAAATATCGGAGAATCTCAAATAGATAGATTCATTCCAATGGTTAATTAGCCAACTAAACCAGGCGTTCCCTACATCCCAGGCCTTAAGAGTACACCTATGGTTAAAACCAAATCAATCACAAAGATCAACTCATGTTGCTCGACAAAGTTGGGAATTAACAAAAAAAATAAAAAAAATTAGATGCCAAGTTTTTGTAATTGGTAATCCCGTTTGACAAAACTCCTTTAAGTTGTAATTTTATTTGTTCTTTTTTTTTTTCTCTTTTAAGTTGTAATTTTTTTTTCTTTTTTTTTTTTTGTTTCAATGAGACTGTGAATTTAGAAGCGAATCCAACCCGAGTAGTGCTTGAGTAGTGGAGTTTGTGCTGACATTCTGTATGTTGAGCATTCTCTGTTTGCCACTTCACTGACTATGTACGGGGATCACCGCTAGAGCAGTGAATGTTGTGCTCAAGTAGTCGGCCTATATGTTTTGTACCGCCTTTACTCACACCGCTCGAGCAATCTTCACTATCCTGTTTACTATAAATGCGTTGTTGGCTGTTTTTAGGGTTTAACATGTCCAGTCTTTTTGAGAGAAAGAAAAACCAAAGTAAGGTGTATTGGAGGGTATTTTATAAGTGTTTCTTCGATGATTTGAGAGTAATCAATGAATCTACAAGTTTCATATTGACTTCATCAAGGAATTGTTTTTACTATTACATTCACAAAAGAGAGAGGTGCTCTTCAGTAGATTTCGAAAAACTTGGGCCTGAAACTTAGGTAGATTCCGGAGTAGCTCAACGTCATGGATTCGATATCGGCGTTGTGGATTTAATATTGGGCAATACAATTTCAAGGTGAAGACGGTAGTGGAAGAGACACATTGGGGTCGATTTAATTCGGGCATGGATTTGCTAGATAATTAAGGATACACATGTATAATTTATTTTTGTCTACTTAGTAAATTGCTTTATGGCTTTGGCCTATAATTTTTTTTTTATCACAATTGGAGACGCTCCAATTGTGATTTTTTTGCACGATAAATTTTTGTGTTGATTTGTTATTAATTATTTGATTAAAATTGGTATTCACTATTTAAAATTAAAACAAAATTATGAATCAATATTTTAAAAAATTTAAATTTTTTAAAATTTATGTCGAAAACATGTGTCAATAACATTAATTTGTGAAATTAAAGAGTATAATAGTGAATGTTTCGATGGGGGTATTAAAAGACCACAAAAAGTCACCTTATTCTATATAAAAAATCGATTTACATATCATTATTATATATATAATTTTTGTCTATGACGTTACTCCTGATATGTATGCATGGAGAAGGTTGATATTTACTATGAGATGACCCCCTCTATTGTGGACTCTAAGGCCCGTTTGTTTCTAGAGATAGAATGGAGGGGATTGATAGTGAGGGGATTGATAGTGAAGGGATTGATAGTGAGAAATTATTAAATTATTTTTATATAAAATAATAAAACAAATAAAAAAATATAAAAAATTAAAAATTATATCCCACCGTCTGCACCGTGGTTGTTGTTGCCACAGGGAATTTTCCATCATGGTACGTCCCATATCCTCCATTCGGCACAGAACTTTGAGAATTGTATCCATAGCTGTACTGGTCACTGTTTCCATGCCAGCCAGTTTGGTAGTGCTTGTCCTTCCCATCAGTCCACCCCTCTTGTTGTGGCTGAGCATGGCCACCACTATAAACCATCATATGGTGGTTTGACGGTGGAGGAGAGATGATGCTAGGGACGTTGCTGTGGTAGCTGCTTGGTGGGTACCAACCGGACTCCTGGTGGACAGCATAGGATTGCTGTTGGTAGCCAACACAAGGATAGTCCTCAGTTTGGATAATCATTTTCTTCTTTCTGTTTTTCTCTCAATTTTTGAAGTATGAGTTTGTGTGTTTTGGACATGCTATTTATAAGGCTTGTTTTGTGATTGTAAAGTGGATGACAATGCATCTAATACCCATTTGGGGATTCCTTTCACTTTTTCTACATGATTAGATTGAGTTGGCATTCAATTGACGGAGTTCCTAAACTTCATTAGTAATTCACAACGTATGAGGAATATGATTCTCCAACCAAAAGTATGGGCATTGCTATATCTAGAGAAAAAAAAGTACATATGAAATTTATATGTAACAATTTTTATAGACACAGAATCGATCACAAAAAACAATTTTGATCATAACTATCAAACGTTAGGGCCTGTCATAAAGTTACAATTTCACACATATTGTTCTATCTATGTTTTTATGTGGTTGGTTGTGTTTGCAAATTTATTGAGACTTGCAATGATGTTGTTGAACTATGAGACTATTACTGACACCAAAACCTCTATTCTCAAAAACTTTATTCATGTTTTAATATATTCTCATTCACAAAATCATGTCTCAAGATTTTTGTATTTTAAAATTATCACCACAATCATACATTTGTAGGTGCAATCATGGGAAGAGATTTTAAGGCTAAAGAATCTATCAATTTATTATTATTATTTATTAATTATGAAACATGATTATCAGCTAATATAAACCGTGATAATGCTTTCATAAGGTATACAAAAATAAAAATTAAAAAAGTTAAATCAAGCATATAATCGAACCGCCAACAAACCAAATGCTAATTGACATGGTCGGGCATTTAGGGCAAGGTAAAGGAAACCTAATTCATTCAAAGGGTACCCAATGTTTGGTCAAATTTCAATACAAAGGGATTTCTGGCGATTTGAAAGTGTTACTAGCAATACTCATTATAAATATGTAATCACAAAAGGATATTAGTGATGGCAAATGATGTGATACAAATTATTTTGTCGCTATACATTCTAGTGACGCTAAAGTTACGGTCACCATCTCTTGTGATGGCATCTCAGGGTAATTTGCCACGACAAAATTTCAATTGCTAATAGTGCAAAAAACAAATCTGAGTTTTGGCGACAAAAGCATAAATGGAAGGGATGTTTAAAGAGTTTTGTCACCATCTTTTATGTTTATGCCACCCTCACCTCCACTTTCATCACTACTCTCACCACCAACCCTACTGTAACAACTACTTTGCCGCCACCATCACTACTACAATCACTATCACCATTATCACTCTATTATCACAGTCACCATTATAACCACCACACTACTATCGTCATCACCATCATTGCAATGAAAAATGAGTTAATTTAGACTAAAATCATTTTCCAAATCTAATCTAGTGAGGTCTTACCAATGCCACCGTCACTTTCTCCACCATACCACTACTACCACATTGTAACCACCGCCACACAACCACCATCATGGTTGTCGTCGTTACCACCCTACCTTTACTTGTTGTTAATGATGCCACCATCGTCACCACCACCATCCTCGACACCACTACCATCATATTCAAGGTCAGAACTAAGCATAAGAAAACATTTATATGAAATTAAAATAAAAAAAAATCACTGAGACAATCCGAACATTAGCTCGTACCAACTTGCTTTGTCTCTTGGAACCTAATACTCAATCAGTCATGACAAAATTTGGCCAGGAATCCAATTTTTTCCAACTATGCCAGATAACGGCCAATTATTATTATTATTATTTTCCCAATCCCATCTTCTAACCAAGACTAGGCTGCCATAATCATGGAGAATGGCAGGAATCAGGATGTATTAAAAACAATACCCGGTGCCAGCGCATATGATTCCATTAAATTCAAAATAATCAATCTTCTTCTCTACCCTACAAATCCGAACCAAACGATCTATCACTCACTTGATCATTTGACCTGAAAAATGCTATACAAATTAACAAATCTTAAAATATTTTTGGGGGAAATTTCAAAATAATGGGATAGACAAAGAAATTGGTTTTGTGATGGAGTACAAGTAAAAAATTGTGGAGGTACAAGTCCTCCATGTTTGCCTAATTTTTTTTTTTCTCCCACTAGAATGTAATTTCCCCCATACTTTTTTCCTAACTCACAAGTCATTAAATGATTAAAATTTTAAAATCTGAATAAGAATCACGTCAATAATATAATAGGTGCGACATAACAATTATTGATTAGACACTCGCCAACCAAGACGATTTTTGGCAGGGCAACACCAAAGAACAAATCAATGATTTAAATAACAAACAAATTACAAATTACAAAATATATATATATATATATATATGAATGAATTAGTCTGAAATCAAAATTTCCTAACAAAAGGTAAGCCCAGGAACATACATATCTTCTTCAAAGGGAGGACACACTCAAGGGTCAGTCATGCCACAACAATGCAAATAATGCAGAGACACAAAACAAACAAAGCTCCCCATCAACAAATTCGTATGTTCCACAATGAATGAAATCCAACTCTAGGACAAATTTATATACAAACTTCACCCCATAAATCCAAGAATTCTGAAAGAATGATATAAGCATTGACGTACATATATAGCAGAGCTGTACCAGTGACACGATGCAGTCATCAACTGTTCGGTAAAACTTTTCATGAGGAGTCACTCCAGCTGCAGCTTCAGCCTTTGCAAAGACGGTCTTGAAAACTCACTAAAGCAAATCAGCCACTTTCTCTCAAGCAATTCCCAGGCAAGAGAAACTTATAATCATCAGCATTTTCCAAAAGATATGCCGGTAGATGAACAGCCGAATATGAGTGGGGAATGGGTCCCATTTTCCCGATGATTTCCTTGAATGTGTACTCCTCGGGCAGCATATCAAACAAGTCAGCCCCTTTGCAGATCACTTTCTGAATTCTTTTAGGATTCAAATAATGTGAGAACCTAACTCTGTCGACATGGCTATAAGCTTTCATTTTGAATATGAACTCATTGATACGGCGGAAGCAAAAGCTACAATGCCACCCGGAATCAGCCAAAACAATATCGGATTGGCGATAATGGGCATACCTCGTCTTACCAGACTGATACCTGTGAACCGAAGCTCTCCAGCTACTATTGTCCATGAAAAACTCAAATGAGTATAGATAGTTCTTCAGCCGGAGATGGAGGATTGGAGGTACGTCATCGCACCACCTCAAGAGATCAATAGTATGTCGGCTTGGAATCTCATCAACATCAGACATTATCAATAAGTCATCATCTTGAATACCGGCTAGTTTGAGAAGATGATCCAATGCTAGACGTTGATATGCCTCTTCAACAAAAGGGTTTTCCCCTTTCCTAAATCTTCCTGGAATTTTCCCATATGTCAATCGTGGCTCAACAAATTTGAACTGATCACGGTTGTTTTCAAAAAACAGAGGCTTTGACAATCCGGTGAATGTTGAGTTAGACTCAAGGAGTACAAACCCTGTTACATAAGGGTACAATTCCTTCCATCTTATGGTAAGAATCTCAAGCTCGGTACTAAACAATACTGCATCGTAAACACGCCTTGGGTACTCCCGAATTCCCCACCCATGAAGTTTACAGAGGTTCTCCATAGATACGTTCTCGTGATAATAGTGTGGCATTTCAATGAAAGGCTTGGGTGGCGATTCCCACAATGGCCGCAAGAAATACGAGATCTTCTGTCCATGCATATATATGACAAAGATGCATGTTGGGACCATAACAAATAGAAAGATGAGAGTTTTCAAATCCAGTCCTCGCAGTATACATCTCAGTCTCGACATGCTCAATATTCTGCTTGAGTCCTGCAGATTCAGAAAAGAAAACGTTTATTTTTTGTAATATTCAGCACAAAGAGATACAAACATAAGCATGAATTTTATGATAATTCCCTTTTGCATATGCAGCAATTTGATGATTATAAAGAAATCATATTAGATTATTAAGACATACTTCAAACACTGTCCAAGTCAATACAATACACAGAGCTTTGAATTTTTTTTTTTTTTTGGATTGGAACAGAGCTTTGAATTTGACAATGAACTTTTTCACCATAATCAATGTAAGTATAAAAATTAGGGACTAACTTAAAACTACGAATACAACTTGGAGGTATTTTGTAATCAGGGTATGCAAACAACACAACGCATAGTTTTGGAAAGGTTGAAAAGTCAAAATCATCTAGACTTTTAGTTTTCCTTGCACTTTCTCAGCAACCAAACGACGCATGACAGACCCAAAAGCACAAATCAACCGAAATCGAAACATTGGTTGCGACTATTCCCAACATTGAAAATTAAAGTAACAAATAAACTTGGGGGAATTTTGTAATCTGAATAAGCAAACAACACAATGCAGAAATTTTGAAAGGGGTATATGTTGTTCACCCCTCCCTTGCATTTCTTGATGGATTTCTTTGAGATGTAAAAGAGTTCTCATTCTCCATAATATCAGATTCTAAGCTTTTACATGAAAACATAAATTGAAAAGACATGGTTTACAGATTTGTATGTAAGTATGTATATATATATAATATATCAATGTACCTTTGTCTTAGAATGTAAGTGAATAGTATTTCAATTGAAAGTCAGGGTTCCAACCAACACAATCACAGAAGGCTTTCCAAAAAATATAAAATAAAATGGGTTAGTTTTCTTTTTCATCTTTCTTTCTGGGTTTTTGAGGGAGCCAGATAAGGAAAAAGTTGAAAAGTCAAAATCATCTAGTCCTTTGTTTTTCCTCACTTTCTCAGCAACCAAACAAACCATGACTAAACCAAAACTCAAAACCCAAAACCCAAAAATCAACAAAAATTATTGACAGTAACAAATCCCAACAATGTCATGAAAAAAAAAAAAAAATTGGAAATTTACAAAATCGAAAGCTCAGATCAATAAGAACAATTAATAGTAAATAAATTTATGATTAATACCTTATCGCAACCATCACCGCAAATATCGTCCTTCTTTTTAGAGCAGTAATGAGATCCCCCTTCAGCCATCGAGTATACTTTCTCAAAAAACCTCGATAAACCCAACATATCTCTTTCTCTCTCACTACAATCACACAAAAACACTTTCTTTTCTCTCTCTAAATCTGTCTACAGCGATCAAAGCCGTTGAAAACCCAGATCAAGCCTGAAATCGCCGAAAGTTCTGGAACCGGAAATCGATCGCAAAAAAAAAAAAGGGAAGATCCTCCACCGCTTGATGGGTTGTGTGGTATAATTCTTGTTCAGACAAATCACAAACTTCACAATATACTCCAAAAACAGAGATGGCAAGAATCCCCAAAAAATAAAAAGAATCAAGAAACGAAAGAATTTAAATAGAATTGAAAGAGACCCAGAAAATGGGTTTTGTGAAGAGAGAGAGAGAGAGAGAGAGAGAGTGGTGAGTTGTGGTGTTGTTGGGTATGTGATGTGTTGGTGCCTCTCTGGTTAATGGGTGTGATGGGAAGGAAGCCGTTTTTCTTGTCTTCTACCCCACTTCTCTCTCCTCATATATATATACATACACTTACATATAATGGAACCTAATGGTGAATTTACGAAATTAGCCATGGATTTGTGAAATGGGTTTAATTGGTGAAGATGGGTGTTCTGGGGATTTTAGATGTTGGCATAGTATTATTGGCTAGGTCTCCACGCGCTTCTATTTGAATGGCTCAAGATCAAGACAACTGTAGTGTGTTTCTTGATTAGTTTAACGGTTTTACGCTCTCTTTGATACCAATTCTCTTCGCTTTATTACTCGTTTTTAGCAGGGAATTTTGATTATGGTAGAAGTTGCGTTCCATTGAAGTCGGCTAGTTTCCAAGGTTGAAACAAATCACCTTGTTTGAATGTTATATCTATTAGCAATCTTTAAAAATATATGTTCAAATATCATGAATAAAACCTTATTTAGAAACATATTTATTTTGTAAAAAAATAGAGAAAATATTGTGATAACTTATTTATTTTGTAAAAAAATAGAGAAAATATTGTGATAACTTAGAATGATTTTTTCGCTAAAATATTTAACCTGTGAATGAGATCTAAATGTCATTATTTTTTAAAAAAATATTAAAGCTTTTAAAAAATGTATCAAAATTTTTATCAAATATCTCACATTAGTGTAAAATGAGACTCACATGAGATCTCAAAAAATTTGTCAAAACTTTTATCAAATATCTCATATTAGTATGAGGTCCGACCCACACCAGGTGGTGTCACATTCTTTTAGAATTTTTAGCATAACTCTTTTTTTTTTGTTTTTTTAACCAATCATATTTTAGTCTCTTGTATTTTTAATAAAATTATTAGTATATGTAGAATTATTCTTTGCTTTGGTTTATACTGATTTTCTACAAACTAAATTTTTTATTTTTCATATTTTTGGTTTTTAGTGAATTTTTTAATATTTTAAGTAATTTGTTTTATTTTGTAGATATATCTAGATATATTTCAAAAGTATATTTGTCAAAAATTCTTAAAAAGTTTTACTAAATATCAAAAATACAAAAATACATATAAATTTTGTAAATTTTTGTATTAATTGGATTTTAAATATATTTTTTCACAAATATTTTTATTTTTTAGGTGCATCTGAAAAATAAAAAAAAATTATTTAAAATATTAAAAAAATTACTAAAAACAAAAAATATGGAAAAAAAATCAATATTCAAAAAATCAATCAAAATCAAACAGCAATTTTTTTATTTTATTTTATTTTATTTTTTTTATTTTAAACAAGTTATCAAACTAGATTCTGCGAAACTCGATTAGTTTTGGAGCCCTAAAGATAATCATCGGACAACCTTCGGTGGCCCATTAGGATGATATCAACTTGAGATTTCAAATTTTATCTTAAATCTTTATCCATTGATAGTGATTTGGTTCAATGTGGATTGAAATTTGATGAACATTAGATGTTTGAAATCCAATGTTTATAACATGACTCTGATGTTATTAACATTGTATCTGATGTTATTAACATTGTAATGGGACCTTTCAATTTATAAGAAAACTTTTAGGACTAAACAGTGCATAAGTTATTAATTTGGGATTTATTAGTGCATCCCCCATTATTCTTTGCTTTGGTTTATACTGATTTTCTACAAACTAAATTTTTTATTTTTCATATTTTTGGTTTTTAGTGAATTTTTTTAATATTTTAAGTAATTTGTTTTATTTTGTAGATATATCTAGATATATTTCAAAAGTATAATATTTGTCAAAAATTCTTAAAAAGTTTTACTAAATATCAAAAATACAAAAAATACATATAAATTTTTTAAATTTTTGTATTAATTGGATTTTAAATATATTTTTTCACAAATATTTTTATTTTTTAGGTGCATCTGAAAAATAAAAAAAAATTATTTAAAATATTAAAAAAATTACTAAAAACAAAAAATATGGAAAAAAAAATCAATATTCAAAAAATCAATCAAAATCAAACAGCAATTTTTTTATTTTATTTTATTTTATTTATTTTATTTTAAACAAGTGCTCAAACTAGATTCTGCGAAACTCGATTAGTTTTGGAGCCCTAAAGATGATCATCGGACAACCTTCAGTGGCCCATTAGGATGATATCAACTTGAGATTTCAAATTTTATCTTAAATCTTTATCAATTGATAGTGATTTGGTTCAATGTGGATTAAGACAAAATTTAACAATAAATATGCCTTGTTTGAAGAGTAGCTAAAATAGTTAAAATGTTAAAAAAAAACGCTATGAGTTATCACATTAATTTTTTACTTTTTTGTATCGTAAAAAGTCAATTAAAATAATCAGTTCTCAAGCAAGTCTTTAACCGTTTGATTTTATTGATGAGAAATTAAAATTGATCACATATTATGGTTGGATTTTATCAATTCATACAAATAAATGATTCAAATAAACTTTTAAATTTTTTTATATAAAATTGTACAATCTCACATTAGGAGTAAACAAAGAGGAAGGATGAAGATTGCTTTGCCTTCATCTCTAATCTTTATTGTTGATCACATATTCTAATATTCAAAGAATTAAAATATAAAATTATTTGAATATTATATATTTTGATTGGTCAGTTTGTATTGATATAATTTTTTTTTTTAAAATCAAAATAGACTGTACCTTATGAAAAACTAACTAAAATTGAAATTTTTGATCAGTTTTAGCGGCTGGTTTGATTCTACGAATTTTTCTTGCACTCCTAATAGTAAGAGAGAATAGTTGTTCGGTTATGTTTTCAATTTTTTTTTTTTTTTTTTTCTAGTTTTTGTTCTTTGTGTGTGTGTTTTAAAAAATAATTTTAGTTAGCTTTTTTCTTATTTTAGTACGTTATTTTACTTTTTAATACACATAATCTAAATTTATTTAAAATGTAGAATATGCGAGAAATTATTTTATAATTTAGTGAAATTATTTTACTTTTTTCTTAAGTGAATTTTTTTAAGTACTCCTAGAATACTACTTTTCATCAATTATCCACAATTATTATGTCATCCTTAAAAAAAAATATTTAACATGAGTGTATGTTGGTACAACTCTAATCATTCAATATAATTACTCTAACGCTACTCTTTATTTAGGGATATAAATTTAGCCTGGTCAGTCGGGTTGCGTGGACTCCCGTCAAATTTTGAATTGGGTCGGGTCGACCTACAAGGTAGAAAATTAGCCCAGGCCGAGGAAGCATTTGGGCCTTAGACAAGTCGATAGGCTTGGGCAAGCCTAAACATTTTTAAAAATTTTTTTTTTTCTATTTTTTTCATCAAAATTTTATTTTTTTTCTACAAAAATGACATTAGGGCTCAAACGGGGCTTTGAGTGGGTTAATGGACTAGACCGGACCGAGTTTCAAACTACACACCCAGGCCTACGCTCCCGGGCTTAGTCGGGCAGGCCCATCCGGGTAGCTAGCTAGCAGGTTTCGGAAGGCCTACGGGCCATTTTTATACTCCCTGGCTAGTTTTCTATCCAAATTAATTTATGATCTATAGTGTTTTATAGAGAGATGGTGTGGCTATTGTGCGGAAGACATAAAAACCATTATTGTGAGGCCATTTTGGCCAATTTCAGGATTCGTTTTGATGATCTGAATAGTTAATTTTTAGAATATATCAAATAAAATATATTTGTAAAAAATCAAGTTAATCGGATATCAATAATTCTTTCATTGAATCATATATGTATTTAGTTTTATATTTCAAATCAAATTGATATTAACTTTTATAGATACAAATGTAATTCAATGAAATGATTAACGATATCTAATCAATTTAATTTTTTAAAGATATATTTTACTCAATATCTATCTATATATCTATATCTATCTATCTATCTATACTATTATAAAGTGAACACCTCTGATGGTGTCTTGAAACCTTCGTTTTTTGGGAAAAATTGGGCCGAGTTGCGAGTTGGGCTTTGTGGCCCAAAGTGCGAAGGACTAAGTAAAAAAGCCGTAATGGTTACTCCGGCCCAGGAGAGGCAAGGTTACTCCGCCCTAGGAGAAACAAAGTTACTCCGGCCCAGGGAGGTAAAATTACTTCGGCTCAGGAATTATAAGGATGCTTCAGTCTGTGAACGATTTAGAGTTATGCCGGTCTTGGAGTTATACCGGCCGAGAGTCATTGGTTCGGTCTAAGACCGTACCATTGGTTGAACATGGGAAAACCGAGATAAGGATAGAGTTAAAAGTAGAACCGAACTAAGAATAGTTCGGTTTACTCAGTGGCTCTGCATAGCGAAGCTTATTTCGGTCATATAGTAGTTCGACCAAAGTAAAAACCATCCCACTTGGTTTAAGCAGTGGGGAGGGTGTAAAAGCATAAGCATTATCCTTAGGAGTATGAATCCTAGGAGGACTCTGCATGGAGGAATAAAAGTTCTACTAGGATTGTGCCATAGGAAACTTATAAAAGCTCACAAACATCACCTTGGAGGAGGTAATAGAACACAATTTTTCTGAGAACATAGAGCTTTTGTCTATTTGTCAAGTTACTGACTTAGGCATCGGAGAGGTTTCCAAATATATTTGTAAAAAATCAAGTTAATCGGATATCAATAATTCTTTCATTGAATCATATGTGTATTTAGTTTTATATTTCAAATCAAATTGATATTAACTTTTATAGATACAAATGTAATTCAATGAAATGATTAACGATATCTGATCAATTTAATTTTTTAAAGATATATTTTACTCAATATCTATCTATATATCTATATCTATCTATCTATCTATCTATCTATCTATCTATCCTATTATAAAGTGAACACCTCTGATGGTGTCTTGAAACCTTTATTTTTTATGCTGCCATGTGTCTACTTTTTTATTTGAAATAAAAAAAAAAATTTAGATAGATGAGATGAGGGGATTTAAACCTTAGACTTATGTCAAATGAGTTAGACTTTTACTACTTAACTAGCACATAATAAATGATAAATATTTTATTTTATTTTTATGTATTTGAATTGCACACACATCACGTGTGGCAACC